ACAGCTGAGATTGTGAGCCTGATATAATTTGCTACCGTGATACGAGGTATAAAACATCGCATCTTTTCACTCATTTTCTTGATGCACAATATTTTATCGGTTTGATGGCATACCGCGAGAGCCGCTATCCGACATTCATGGCCGTGAAATTAGCGCCATCTTCGGACTCATTAATCCTGGATCTAGAAGACTTTATTTATAAGCGTAATTTAGGGAATTTCAACATGATAGATATTTAACATATAAACTGTAATAGATTGAAGAAGCATACAATATTGCAGTTAAAATTTTTTTCCCAAGTTAGCAACATTTTCAACCAGGCCTCTGCAATGATGATCGGAGGACGCTTAGCATGGAGAAAGTTCTTTGTTTTAAAGAACACTTCATTAATTTGAAGTGTAGAATATGTATGCATATTAGTACTAAGGTATTTGATATAATTATTTAATTAATGGCCTTCTTTCACACACAGGACTCGACGAGTTTTGACGTGACGCTTTTGATGCCTCACAAATACGGCGGAATGTCCGAGTATCCGAATAACGTCTCGAACTTCGACCACTTTACCGAGGGTCCACAGAGAGTCTCGACAACCATAACGAACCGAGGCTTCTTCGGCCGCTCGAACACCGGCGTCGCTGGTAACGATGAGGACGAAGACCTCGACAGCGTCGGTATGACCAATAAAAGCCACAACAGCTCCGGTAAAAACAGCAGCATGGGCCACAAAACTCCCGACGAGAACAGTCGCCCCGGCAACGGCGGAGGTCTCATGGACCTGCTGAACCTGAAGCTACCAAAAGGGCGCTCGCCGAGTAGATTGTCAACAGTTATTCAGGTCCGGCCTTACGACGAGCTAGAAGGCGATTCAAAAGAAGCATTTGATGGTATGGGTGAGATTTTTGATGACCATGGACTTAATTACCAGCGTCGACAGCCGCCGCCCTCAGTGACCAGGAGCAAAAGTTTAAACACTTTGAACGCGGGCACAACACAAGCAACGCCTCAATCTTCATCCTTGTCCACTACGCCACAACCTGGCATGTTCTCGCAGCTCTCGCCCACACCCAGCAAAATATCTAATTTCATGCAGAAGAAAATGTCGTCCAGCAGCTTCTTTCCGTCCCCAGCCGAAGCCAGAAGAAGTAGAGTTACTTTGTAAAAATGTATACTTGAATTCTCCTATACGTATTTGTTCCATATAAAGTAGTGGACTGCATTTATTCTTTTAGCCTGCGAATAACTTGACAGCGAATTATATCTCAACATTTATATTAATCTCAGCATAATTGTATTATATCAATTATGATGGGATTGTCCAGCATCAAAATAACTCTGTAGTCGCGGTAATGGAATGAAAATCAATAAACCTAATATTTATCGAAAATTCTTTCATCTCCACATTCTTCTTCGCAACACTAAAAATGCACACACAACCCAACACAGTTTCTCTGAGCAGGCATAGAACTCGCGAGCCTAACAAAAATTTCGATCGATAGGCCGTACTTCCAAGGCCGTCAAATAACGTGCATCGTTTGTTCGAGTTCAATACGTGCGAGACATGAACGCAACTTGTTCATATATTATGTGAAGATCGTTAAAAGCAAAGGTCTAGCTCGTCTAGAAAGAGATCTATAGTGTGCGGCAGTTGTACACGAGTTTATGAAGAGTTCACGCCATTAAGCATACATTGTTATTATTTAAACATTATAATATTATGTACAATTAATATACATATGACAATGCAAACCTTGTATTTAGAACGCGATAAGATAGTATGGCTTTGCGTGAAATCGCAAATAAGCAACTTAGAGATATCTGAAACAAGCCATGAGTTTGATTATACGTTGTTTAAAAGAAAATTTTAAAATGCAAACGAATTAAGGATCGAACGGTCTACGCTTGGCTAGAAATAATACGAGAAAATATGGTTCAGAAAGTATGCGTGTACGAACTTAATTAAGTTTGAGGTTAACAACAATAGCAAACTGCTGATATAGCTTACGTCGAATGCAACCTAACAAGTTCGTTCATGCTACTAAATTTGTAAAAAAGGACATTGTTGTAAAGCTGCTCCAATGCAGGAATGCTAAAAATATTGTTGAAAGAGAGCATTTTGAATGGGCTCAAAGAGAACGAACATTTCATGGGCAGTTCTGGAATACAGAACAAAAATATACAGACACCCGGCCACCAAAATTATATTCAATTACGATTGTCATTACCTTGATTTATATAGCCTTTTCCCAACCAAGAGCCTCTACATAAGTGATGATGTTGCTTCAGTCTCGTCAATTACCGCGGCACTGAAACGTTAGCGTTAGAAATACAGCGGCATGCACACCAAGCAATCAATAGGGTAGTTATATAGACAAAGAATCTATCAGTCAGCCAACAAGGCTGCGCTTCACGATGAGATTTTTCTTTTAAATACGATGCAAGACGAGGCAGCCAAAGTTACCATGTAACGAATTAATCCCAATATTAACAAAAATTTCAGAGCTGAATAATAATGATTTTATTAACGATTAAAGATATTTAAAACACCTCATCTAATCGTTGATCTGACAAGACGCATGTTACTAGTCGTAAAAAGCGAGAAATTAAGCGCTTTCTGCACTAAATTGCCACATACATACAGTGGGGGGAAATAAATATTCGTACACTTGAAAAATCGTATTTTAATGTATGTAAGTACACAAACTTAACAGAAATTTAAATCACTTTTCCTGTTAAGTTTGTGTACTTACATACATTAAAATACGATTTTTCAAGTGTACGAATATTTATTTCCCCCCACTGTATGTCGACCGCACACGCATACAGACTTTCTCATGGACTGCCAACTTATTTGAGTAATTTGAAATTCAGCGCAAATTCAGGTACTTAAAAGGACTCAACGTGCACGCTAATAACAGCATGGCTACATGGAAATTGCAAAATCTGCACTGCTTTCAAGCTACGCTGAATCAAGTGCAAATACCTACTTAATTTTATGTTTTGCGATGACAGTCTACTTCAAAATGCACATAAACTATCGAAGTCTTAATTAGCGCGTATCTTCGCAATGTTAAAGTTAATAACTTCGCAGCGAAGTTTGCGAAGCGACAACGGAGAAGTTTGTCGACATCTGACAGATCAAGCTAAATTAATTAACAACGAGTAAGCTATGATTCTTCAAAAGTTTATTATTTAGTTTCTCTTAGCAATTGATGCATTAGTAAAACACGCTCTCCTAGCACACTTTAATGAAACTGGTGGAATTGGCAATATAAGAATTGTATATGATAGTATATACACAGGATATAGCAACACGAGTATTGCTGATGGATGACCTCGCAAGTGGTGTCTATACTTCGTTCCTTTCCCTCCAACCTCAACGTTCAGCTGGTCCATAGCATAGTGATTGAGAAAGACAGCAAAATGCACCAGCAATTATCAGTTAAATGTTTAGGGGATAATAACATTAGGGAGATAAACAAGGGTTCCTTCCGGAGTGAGTTCTTTTCTTTGAACCTATTGTGTAAGAAACGTGAAGAAACCAATAATTTGAAGTTAAAACTATATAAATAAATGTATTTAAACTTCTTTCAAAACTTCGCTGTTATTTCAGTACTTTTGTATTTTATTTGCGTTGCAAATCCTGAGTAATATTTACCCGATCAAATAATCTTAATACAGAAAATACGTGTCTTTCACGTAAAATATATCTAACTAAATTGTGTCCATGCAAACAGCAACTGCTAATATGACTCGTCAGCATAACCAATTAAAGGCATTTAATTTTTTTTTCGAGTATTAAATATTAATATGCAATGCTGAATAAACTCATAGGGTAAAATATCACAAAGCCAGCCGTCTTACAGGAGCTTTGACCTATGCACAATATGACCTCGTATAATGCTCAGCTTAAGAGAATGACTGTAATTAGCGCACGGCTGTCTGGCTCACTGTACGTGCAGGGCGATCACCATCACTGTAGTCGCAGGTATAAATCACCATCACAGGAGTTGCAAGGTAATCACCATCACTAACTGTCAGGATTGCGTGACTCTAGAGCTCCTAGCAGTGTAGTGATTTAAGAGTCTTATGTAAGAGTCTTATGGTCGAGTCACTGTGGCTACTGACCTTGCAGTAACTAAATTGAGCCACGGCTGTCACTTCTCACTTACCAATAACAAAAAACTTGCAGAATTTCATTTGAATAAATGACTACATTCGGTCATTAAAGGAAAAAATATAACTCAGTACTCACTGCAGTGAGTGACAGAGAGCGCATTTTCTCGTCGGCGAAAACGTGAAGTCACGGACAGACAGACGGACGGACGGATATGACGAGCACAATAGCGCCTTTTTTCATAGATAAGAAAATGCGCAAAAAATAATGTATTTTTGACTCGCGAACGAGGCTTCTCACTCGGTCAAACCTATTGACAAGTGCCCGAATGAAAAACCTTATATAAAATGCCGTGCAAAAAAACAAATCATATATTATTCAATTGATAAAAGAAGAAGCTGTTTCAGTAGCCAACCTGAAACAGCTTCTTCTTTTATCAAACCATTAGCCGTATAAACCATTAGCTGAACAGAGTCAAGAGCCGAGGGTGTGACTGGCATGACGAGTGCGGTGCTTCTATCAGATGTTATCGTCACGAGTGTAGTGACCTCGTGTAGTATGAGTGGTCAGACATCAAACGTCTTATTTCAGAGCTAATGAGTGACACCTCAGAGCAAAAGAGTGGTATTTCAGAGCAAATGAGAGGCATTTCAGAGCAAAAGTGGTATTTCAGATCAAAAGAGTGGTATTTCAGACCAAAAGAGTGGTATTTCAGATCAAATGAGTGGTATTTCAGATCAAAAGAGTGGTATTTCAGATCAAAAGTGGTATTTCAGACCAAAAGAGTGGTATTTCAGACCAAAAGAGTGGTATTTCAGACCAAAAGAGTGGCATTTCAGATCAAAAGAGTGGTATTTCAGCACATATGAGTGGCACTACTCACCGCTGCCGAACAATAGGTTCCCACTCGTCCTTCTCAGGGGACTGGGCCCGGGGAGGGTGCAGGGAGTTCGAGCGCCCCGCCCCCCCTGACACCTACACATATAAGTCATATATTTAAATTAATATAATTATCTAGAATAAAGATAAGTGGTCACGAATAAACATTTGACAAGAAAGTTATTAATAGCGAAAATTACTTTACACATATGTGGCGGATGTTCAAATTAATATCATTATCTAGTATAGAGATAAGTGATCATGAAAAGGCATTTGATAAGAAATTTATTAATAGTGAAAATTACTTCACACATATATGAAAATGTTCAAATTACATGTCATATCATAATCTAGAATAAAGACAAGTGATCAGGAATAAGCATTTGATAAAAAATTCATTAATGACGAAAATTATTTTGTGTAATTTAATGAATTTGATATAATTGGTAAACATGAAATTTTATCCCATAGGCAAATCGCATTAAGTTTTTCATACAATTACATGAAAACTGTGCGTTTTTCGGTTATTGTGATCTCGTTAAATTCTCGCCACAATTTGTACACATTTGAGAGAGGCAATGGCCAAGTGAAAACATTACATTTTCTTACGCTAATAATTTCACTGAAGAATAATTCAGAGAAATAAATTTTCCTCTAAAATTGCATAATTAATTACAACAAATTCGTATAACGATTTGATTAGAGAATATATAATCACATGATAATTGAACAAAAGCATACACATAATTAGGAGATGACTCTAAAACAGGATGCTTAAGAGATAAATAATTAAATACTATACTATTTAATATAATAACGTCACCGTACTGCGCCTGTAGCGCCTCCTCTACCTGCAGCAGCGGCGGCCTGTGTAGCACACAAGTCATACATGTTATACACGCGGCCACATGACGCCACACACACGTCATACATATTATACACACTCACCACACGGCGCCACACACACCATAAACACAACACATACTCACCACACGACGCAATGCACACCACAGATACAACACACCTTATGACCTTATGATGAGTTCGGGACTTCCTAGTCCCCGGTCACGCTGATGCGCCGCCTTCGTCGTCCTCCGAATCGTCGCTAGGCAGGTCACCCCGCCCTCGGGTCTCGGATGTAACGTTGGACACACACTCACCACAATGCACGCTATCTTTGGCATGTGTTTCGGGCGTAGCAGTAGCAGGCCGCGTTGGAGCGCCGTCTTCGGTCCCGGTAAGCAAGTCGCCCTAGCAGCCGAGGTCACAAGGGCATGTGCCCTCAGTTGGGCCAGCTGATGCCCTCAGTTGGGCCAGCTGATGCCCTGAGTCGGACCAGCTGATTGCCTCAGTAGGGCCAGCTGATGGCCCAGTTGGGTCAACTGAAGCACGATGCTGTTGCTTGCTTTTTGCCGCCGTTAGTGGTAACGAGTCGGACGATCGATTTTGCCATGAACCATGTAGTCATGGAGGTCTCCAGAGTCAACTAACTCTTTCTTTGAATCCTTTGAGAAACTTTACGCAGCCTCAGCCCCGCCACTGCAAAAGATCTTCCGGCAGGGATTGAAATCGGACCGCAGATCTGTTGCGTAATGGAGGGATCGTGCAAGCCTCCCCCTTCTCTCATTATGGTATATCTCCATCCTGAAGGTCTTGCTTTCGAAGTTTGGGACAAGTCCGGTTATTATTTTCCATGTTTACAGAATGACCCACAACTCCCGTCTCCTCTGCAGCGAATACAGGCCCAGGGGCTTTCTTCCTTCACCAGTAGTTCATCTCCTCCATCTCGCTGATCCCAGCCGTTAAGGTTCTCTGGACCCATTAAAATTACCGTACTACCCCATAGTGAACGGAGTCTAAAGCTGGCCGCAGTATTCAAAAAGTAGGATCACAAGGCCTCTGAAGAATGTGATCATCGGTTCCGCTTCTCTTGTTTTGAACGTAAGCAAAATCCACCCCATCTGTCACCTACCTCTTGCGGTTATTGCCGCTATGTGATCACCAGACTTGACCAGGGTGCGGTACTCATAAATTGCTCCAAGATCGCTAACGAGTTACTTTTTTCGATTTCAAAGACGTCCGGTGCAAGGTAGTGGTATTTTTCGACACTACACACACATAACACTTAATTACCACACAGCGCCCTGCACATCACACTCAATCTCGACACAGGTGACTGCTCCATATTCCACGCAATTTAATGCCTAAAAGGGAATTAAAGAGGCCTTAGGGCATTAAAGGGCATTAAAGAATGCCTCTTTGATTAAATGGCATGATACAGAGAGGGTATGATACAGAGAGGGTATGATACAGAGAGGGTATGATACAGTGAGGGTATGATACAGAGAGGGTATGATACAGAGAGGGTATGATACAGAGAGGGTATGATACAGAGAGGGTATGATACAGAGAGGGTATGATACAGAGAGGGTATGATACAGAGAGGGTATGATACAGAGAGGGTATGATACAGAGAGGGTATGATACAGAGAGGGTATGATACAGAGAGGGTATGATACAGAGAGGGTATGATACAGAGAGGGTATGATACAGAGAGGGNGGGTACAATACAGTGAGGGTACAATACAGTGAGGGTACAATACAGTGAGGGCACAATACAGTGAGGGCACAATATTGACAATACAGTGAGGGCACAATACAGTGAGGGTACAACACAGTGAGGGCACAATAAAGTAAGGGTACAGTGAGGGCAATAAAGTAAGGGTAGACGCACCCGGCGCCGGCAGTTAAGGTGTTGCCGGCGGACGCGGGGTTGGAGATGGACGGCGACACGGCGGCCCCGCCGCTCCCCCGCCGGGACCCGCCCTCGTCTGCTCACGGGGAACCACGGGACCGAACACGCGGGGTGGAGGGGGAGGGAGGGAAGTGGATGATTAAAGATTGCAAGATAAAAATAAATACAAAAAACGACAATCAAAGATACAGCGTTAAAACAGATTCTAGTTTAAAGGTATTTAGATAATAATGGTGTAAAAATTAAAAATTTCATGAGAAAATCAAAATAAAAGCAACAGCTTTTCACAAAAACAGCGGATGACGTTACAGGAAAAGCTATTTTCATGAGAAAAGTTTATAGTATAGCTTCAAAATTCTCATAAAAATTGGCCCTTAGCTTCAAACATCTAACCAACGTGATAAAAAAATATTTCTCAAGTTCATCAAAATATATTGGGTTCTTTAAACACCCTGCCTCCCATGTCAACAACTCAGCAACGGGAAACTAATTTACTTCTATTAAACCACACGTAAAGACGTAGTCCACAATTACTTCTTGCTCATTGCAATCAAAGCATAAATGTTTTTCAAGTGCCACCTGTGTAGGGACCTGTAACATTTATAACCCCGAACATACTACCTACAGCACGAAGTGTGATGTATTGATGTGACATCATGGAAATACATATACGAGATTCTTAAACGGAAGCCCAGTTAGCTGGGATGCCAATATTAATGACAAGATCTTTATTGCCAACATATCAGTTAAAACAGAAAATGGAGGTTCATCATCGTTATCAACATTCACAGTCATGTGCTTAAACACACAATATAATTGGAGCATTAATCGATTCTAGTTTTCGATAGTGAAACTGAGATTCTAAATATATCCAAAATACAGTATTCTTCACTTGAAAGCGCAATACCCAGAATGACACAAAATCAAAGCTACACCTCTGAACAACAAGCTCTGAACAACGTTCCAAAAATGTTTAACAAGGAAAAAATTTAATAAATAATTAATTGGCATAATTTGGCATTAAAGTGATGAAGGAAAAATTCGCGGGGTCAAGCCCGACAAGATTGAACGTCAGAACAAACTTATATATTATATTTTAAAAAGAGCAAACAATGATCAATAACTTCCACACAAATTGAAATAAAGAGAGTAACCAAAATTCATGGTACAATAAGACGGATACCACAAAAAAGAAACAAGCTCCACGGTGATTATAAGAACAAGGCTATAAAGTTTAACGCAGCACAATAATGCATAGATTATTACGAAGTCAAAATGGCCACGGTGATAGAGACGAACAAGTCAGACGTGAGTGAAAATGTCTCCCACATTATAACATGACATTATGCAGCGTAAAATGTAACTATAAATGCACTTTACTATATATAGGGTGAGGAAAATAATCAGGATGGAGGAGGTTGCAGTCCAGCGGTGGGTGCAGGCGTTCTGATCACAAAAATAAAACATTGACTGGAGCGATTAAGGTTCTTAGCTCACAACTTTAAAGTTCCGTATACGCAGTGAATGTGATGCTTCAACTTCAGACTAAGGCGATGTGTTTCATTGACTGAGGTAGCCACGACGAAGTGATTGAATTAACAATTCAATTAGATTTATAGATTTAATTATGATTATGGTTCTTAGTTCACGACTATATACCGTAAACGGAGTGAATATGATGCTTAAACATCAGAGTAAGGCGATGTGTTTCATTGACTGCGCTATCCACGGATAGATTAAGTAATTAAATTAACAATTCAATTAAGTTTAATTTAATTAAGCACTGCAACTTCACAATTGCGATCGCGTTAAGAGATGCCGGTAGCGAATTATGTGATCACAACCCTTGAGCGAGAAAGAACTGAAATAGTATTCATCAAGAATCTTTGATAATTTTCTCAAAGGTAATCAGCAAAATCATGTTTGTCAGTAAGAAATCACCATAAAATTAAACTACACTTGCATTCATCAACACCATTACTGAATCAGTGTAGAATCAAGCTACGTTTCCAATGGAATATACAAGAAAATTGCTCGTCATGCATAGGTGCACTCTAAATAGTGCAGTACTCACGAATCATAGTGAATGATTACAAGAAATTTCGTGAATAAACACGAATCTCCGAACATATAGTGAATGATTACAATAAATTTCGTGAATAAATTCGTGGTTACCTTCTTCCAAGACAGTTTCGTCAACGCTACTCGCCGTATCTTCTTCGGCTATGTTGACGAGTCGCTTCTCGGCAGCTAAAGTGTGTGTGTAAAAGTGTGTAAAGTGTGTAAAAAACACGAACTAGTCATCAAAGTGTGTGTCAAGCCTCAATTATACAATGCTCATAAATGCCACGACTAAACAAATGGCGTGAAATGCTTTGTTTTTGTTCTCAAATGACCTGATTGTTCGCTATAAAAAAAATTCTTAACAGAAGTTGATTAGTTTCCCGGCACACACTTTCAGAAGTTGCAAGAACCCATACGGTTTGTAAAATGAATTAAAAATAATAGCCGAGCTATTGCAGTATATAACGATACTTGTTGATTTCTTCATAAGTAGTGATAAATATAAATTTACAGAGATCAACTGGCCAAAGCAATTATTGCAACTACCTGCCTTTAAAATAATCGATTAAACTACAAAACTTTCGTTGGACAAGATCGTGATCCGACCACGCTCAGCGACCATGATCCTCAACAAGCGAAAAGGAGTTGGTATTCAACTCAGAATTCAATACCTATATCCGAATAACAAATAATCAACATTCTAGGGGATAAAATTACTATCATTGACGATTTGAAAACATCATCTGAGAATTTCAACAAATTTACACTTGACAAAGGGCGTGCGTGCAGAGGTGAGTTCGATTAAAATCTTATCATGGTATACGTATTCAAATACCAATTAATGAATCAAGACGACTTTTAGACAATTAACTCTTAACTGTTCGCGTGTAATACATGAAACACTGCCGCGAATTTATATGCAACGAGCAGCTTAAACCGAGCAGCTGGAACATATAAACGTTTTCTGGAGTCATCGTAGTGGTCACATCACAAAAAAATATAACTCATTACTCACTGCAGTGAGTGACAGAGAGCGCATTTTCTCGTCGACGAAAACGTGAAGTCACGGAGGGACAGACAGACAGCCAGACAGACGGATGGACATGGCGAGCACAATAGTGCAATTTTTCCATAAATGAGAAAATGCGCTAAAAGCGACCGCAACGTATACTCAAACAAGTTTTTACGACNACGATAGACTCTCTCGCACACGATAGACTCTCTCGCACACGATAGACTCTCTCGCACACGATAGACTCTCTCGCACACGACAGACTCTCGCACACGATAGACTCTTTCGCACACAATAGACTCTCTCACACACGACAGACTCTCGCACACGATAGACTCTCGCATACGAGATTCTATAGTGCACAGTTTCTCCTTCAAACTAGGGGGTTAATGACCATAAAATTTAATAATTTAAATTTTCCGGGTCGAATAATTCTTCAGTCGACGTTGCTTGATCGAAATGCGAGTAACTGAAGCCCTCATCACACCGGATTGGACTCCAGCTATTCATCTGATAACTACCGGATTTCCTGAACTTTGAGATTGTTTCGGAATTATTTTAACCGTTCCAAATTTTCGTATTGTATCATATTTACGTGTACCATGTATTTATTTCGACAAAAATGTCTGTATTCAATGCTTCTTTTAACTTGAACGCGAATGTTGTTACATTTGAAACGTCGTTAATATATTAGAATTACTTCTCAAAACCTGCATTTTAATCAACCAACGTCATCTGAAGAATTGTTCGACTTTGAAAATTAAAAACAATGAATTTTATGGTCATTACCCGCCCTAGTTTAAACAAGCTAATTCTGGCATCTATAATATTAGTTTATCCTTTGCGCACAAGGATCTCTGACGTACAAGTGTACGAATATAATATAATTATTCACA